TTTGAATCCTTGCGCAATTGTCAGTCTTACTATTCTAAATTATGTTAGATGTTTTTTTGTCTAGAGAATTAATGGTATATTTATTTATGGTCAATTCTGCGCACTTTATGTTGTCTCTTGTGTGGTATGCAGTCGCTCCAAGCTCATGCCATTATTTAAAATTAATAGGATAAATAGGTGGAAAATATGGATATACATATTCTGCACCAAAACAGAAACAACTTAGTACGACCTAGTTGTGAGTAGCATATTGTTCTCGGGTGTAAAATTCGTTCTTTTATTGTCAATCTCACTTATCTAAATTTTCCTTGACACGCAGAATTTCACCTGTCCTCATAACTTGTAGCCCCAACCTCGGTTCTTTTGCCCAAATTCCCTCTCTTGCTCTGTTTTTTTGTTGTTGCAACTCATATATTTACCCCTAGTTGATCAGTTGAAAGGATCGATATAGTTGACTAGAGGGGGGGGGGGGTGAATAGGCAACTAACAATTCTTAGCTTTTCTTTACCAATTAAAACTTTGCATCAAACTAGGTTGTCTAGATATGCAACTAGGTGAGCAACATATATGATGCAACAACAAAAAGCACACAGCAAGCAAGGGATGCAGCACAATATAAGCTTGCACAAGTAAAGGTACGAGATAACCAAGAGTGGAGCCGGTGGAGACGAGGATGTGTTACCGAAGTTCCTTCCCTTTGAGAGGAAGTACGTCTCCGTTGGAGCGGTGTGGAGGCACAATGCTCCCCAAGAAGCCACTAGGGCCACCGTATTCTCCTCACGCCCTCACACAATGCGAGATGCCATGATTCCACTATTGGTGCCCTTGGAGGCGGCGACCGAACCTTTACAAACAAGGTTGGGGCAATCTCCACAACTTAATTGGAGGCTCCCAACGACACCACAAAGCTTCACCACAATGGACTATGGCTCCGCGGTGACCTCAACCACCCTAGGGTGCTCAAACACTCAAGAGTAACAAGATCCGCAAGGGATTAGTGGGGGGGGGAATCAAATTTCTCTTGGTGGAAGTGTAGATCGAGGCCTTTTCAACCAATTCCTAGAGAATCAACAAGTTTGATTGGCTAGGGAGAGAGATCGGGCGAAAATGGAGCTTAGAGCAACAATGGAGCTTGGGGATGGAAGAGGTAGACAACTCGGAGAAGAAGACTCCTCTTATATAGAAATAGGACAAATCCAACCGTTACCCATTTACTCAGCCAGCGACATGCGGTACTACCGCAAGGGCCTGCGGTACTACCGCGGGGCACAACGGTACTACCGCTTGCGCGACAGGAGCTAGACCAGCCCTATTCCATTGAAGCAAAGAGAGGTAGAACCGCCCTTGCGGTACTACCGCAAGGCAGGGTTTGTCTGCGCTGGGAAGGCACAGACAAATAAAAATACATCCGTGGCTACTTCCGCTGAGTATCGATCAGTGCAAAACTCCGACACGGTACTACCGCATACAGGGAGCGGTACTACCGTGTAGGGCATGGATGTAAAAAATTACATCCGCCCCTACTTCCGATCGTGCTGCTGTGCCCGGCCCGAGGCCACGGTACTACCATGCCTAGGGAGTGGTACTACCGCAAGGGCCTGCAGTACTACCGCAACCCCGGCCGGTACTACCGTGGGTCTCTACGGTACTACTGCTCCCATGAGCAGTACTACCGCATGCCACAACACAACAATCACTACGAGTCCTTCATTTTGCAGAGACACGGATAAACGGTGGTTGCTCCAAAGAGGCAAAGGAAAGGTGGTGCAAAAGGAACAGACGTGTATGTGATGATTCCACCCAAAACTTTCCAAAGCGGACCCCCTCTTAATAGTACGGCTTTCCTACGACTCAAATCCACCGAAAAGAAACGTAGAGAAAACTCTGTCTTCACTAGACTCCGAGGGGCAACGATGAAGGAAATATGCCCTAGAGGCAATAATAAAGTTATTATTTATATTTTCTTATATCATGATAAATTTTTATTATTCATGCTAGAATTGTATTAACCAGAAACTTAGTACATGTGTGAATACATAGACAAAACAGAGTGTCCCTAGTATGCCTCTACTTGACTAGCTCGTTAATCAAAGATGGTTATGTTTCCTGACCATAGACATGTGTTGTCATTTGATGAACGGGATCAGCTCATTAGAGAATTATGTGATGGACAAGACCCATCCGTTAGCTTAGCATTATGATCGTTTAGTTTTATTGCTATTGCTTTCTTCATGACTTATACATGTTCCTCTAAGTATGAGATTATGCAACTCACAAATACCGGAGGAACACCTTGTGTGCTATCAAACATCACAACGTAATTGGGTGCTTATAAAGATGCTCTACATGTGTCTCCAAAGGTGTTTGTTGGGTTGTCATAGATCGAGATTAGGATTTGTCA